GAGTCTGCTTCTCCCTCTGACCCTCTTCCCTCTCGTATTCTCTCTCTCTCAAATAAATAAAAAAAAATCTTTAAAAAAAATTATTTTTAAGTAATCTCTATGCCCAATATGTGGCTTGAACTCACAACCCCAAAATCAGGAGTCACATGCTCCACCAACTGAGCTGGCCAGGCGCCCCTAAAGAAAGAACATTTTAAATTTTATTTATTTATTTATTATTTATTTATTTGAGAGAGAGAGAGAGAGCACAAGCAGGGGGGCAGCAGGCAGAGGGAGAAGCAGGTTCCCCACTGAGCAGGGAGCCCGATGTGGGACTCAATCCCAGGACCCTGGGATCATGACCTGAGCCAAAGGCAGATGCTTAACCAACTGAGCCACCCAGGCACCCCGAATATTTTAAATTTTGAATGTTATTCATTTTTGAAGAGGTTGATGAGAGAAAAACTCTCTAAAGGCCTGATATACAAGGAGAACCATTTTAGATTTCTTTCTAAGTCAACATGACTATATATAAACTTTGTTCAAATCAAAAGCCTAATTTATGGCCGGCCACACAGGCATTGTACATCTGTTTGTAAATGAGTCACCTAAAGGAAAACCATTTTGTCCTGGAGATACCACTCAATGCTCCCATTTCCTGCATTCCTTTACGATAGAACTCGTGATTCCTTACTATATGCTAATCTATAACCTTTGAGCTTTTACAAGATGTAAAAAGTATATAACCTGTAAAATCCATCCATTCTCCAGAATGCTTTCTTCCCTGTGAAGAGCAGGTTTCCCCAGGCATCTGTCTTAACTTTGGCTCGAATAAAACTCTCTTTTCTACTTTTGGAGATTCTAAAAGGTTTGTTCACTTGCGTCAATAGGTAGTTCATTCACATTTTTCAAAACTTTAAAAGGAAATGAGGTTTATAGTGAAAAGACTTCCTCTCCCCTCGGTACCCAGTTACCTAGTTACCCTCACTAGAGACAAGCACAGAATCTTGCATCCTTCCAGAGATGTTGTGGGCATACACAGGCAAATACTATTTTTCCTCTACCTACACAGATTATAACATACTTTTTACATTGTACCATATATTTTTTTAAAGATTTTATTTATTTATTTGACAGAGAGAGAGAGAGAGCACAAGCAGGAGGAGTGGCAGAGGGAGATGGAGAAGCAGACTCCCTGCTGGGCAGGGAGCCGGATGCGGGACTCGATCCCAGAATCCTGGGATCGTGACCTGAGCTGAAGGCAGACGCCTAACCGACTGAGCCCCCCAGGTGTCCCCACATTGTACCGTATTTTGCTTTTTTCCATAAAGTTTATCTTTATGAGCCTTCTCTATCAGTACATAAATAGCTTCCTCATTCTTGCTTATGGCTGCTTTGTATTTACTTGTATGGATATTCCATACTTTATTTAACCAGATCCCTCTTGATAGTGATTGTTTCCAAAGTTTTGCTGTAATAAGTAAATCTGTACTTACGTTATTTCATACATTGATAAAATAAAATTTCATACATCTATAAAATAAAATGCCTAGAAGCAGAACTGATGAATCAAAGGGATACGTATTTATCATTTTGCCAGTTACTGACAACTTGCTCATCGTAGAGACTGTACAAATTTACATTTCTACCAGCAATATGCGAGTGCCTATTTTCCTACACTCTCCCAAAGATGTGTACTAATTATTCAACTTTTAAAATTTTGCCAGTCTGGGGGCACCTGGGTTGCTCAGCGGTTAAGCGTCTGCCTTCGGCTCGGGTCATGATCCCAGGGTCCTGGGATCAAGCCCCACATTGGGTTCCCTGCTCGGTGGGAAGCCTGCTTCTCCCTCTCACACTCTCCCTGCTTGTGTTCCCTCTCTCGCTATCTCTCTCGTCAAATAAATAAATAAAATATTTTAAAAAAAATAAATAAAATAAAATAAAATTTTGTGAATCTGATAGGTGAAAAAAAGTACTTTGGTGTGCTTTTCATATATACCTTTATCCTATTATAAGCATAGCCACTGATCTTTCACATTTTTTATTTAGAATTTATTTATTTAAGATTTTATTTATTTGAGAGAGAGAGAGAGAGAGTGAGAGACAGAAAGCACAAGAGGGGAGAGGGTCAGAGGGAGAAGCAGACTCCTGCTCAGCAGGGAGCCTGATACAGGATTTGATCCTGGGACTCCAGGATCATGACCTGAGCAGAAGGCAGTTGCTTAACCAACTGAGCCACCCAGACACCCTTAGATTTTATTTTTTAAAGTAATGTCTGCATCCAATGTGGGGCTTGAACCCATAACCCTGAGATCAAGAGTCACATGTTCCACTGACTGAGCCAGCCAGGCACCCCTCACATGTTTAAGAACACTTTCTTCGTGCTTTTCATTGAATTTTTTCATATCTTTTGTCCATTTTCTACTAGAATTGTTGAATTTTTATTCAAAGGTACTCTTTATGCATTAGGGGTACTAACTCTTTGTTTGCAATAAGTTGCAAATAAGTTTTCTACTTTGACACTTGTCTTTCATTTTTAAAATGTTGCACCATATTAAAAAGAATGTACAAGCTACATAAAACATATCTGCAAAATTGATTGCATTTCTGAGCCACCAATTTGCCCTATTTTTTTAAAAGATTTTATTCATTTATTTTAGAGGGAGAGAGAGTGAGGGGGAGGAGCAGAGGGAGAGGGACAAGCAGACTCCATGCTAAGCGTGGAATCCAACATGAGGCTCGATCCCATGGCCTCAACATCATGACCTGAACCGAAATCAAGAGTCAGACACTCAACTAACTGAGCCACCCAAGCACCCCCAGTTTGCTATATTTGTTAGTCATAAGACAACACATGGGAAAACAAAGGTAGGGAGGCTATAAATTGCATTGACCAGAGTCATGCAGATAGGAGCATGGAACTCACCATACCCCGGTTCTGGACCAGGGAGTAATTCCTAATAACCAGCTCTTCCTGATGGCAACACAACAGTCCAAGGGTGTGGAGATTACTTAAAATAAATAAGCAAAAAAAAAATTTTTTTTAAAACAACGTTAGGGGCGCCTGGGTGGCTCAGTCGTTAAGCGTCTGCCTTCGGCTCAGGTCATGATCCCAGGGTCCTGGGATCGAGCCCCGCATCGGGCTCCCTGCTCAGCGGGAGGCCTGCTTCTCCTTCTCCCAGTCTCCCTGCTGTGTTCCTTCTCTCGCTTTGTCTCTCTCTGTCAAATAAATAAATAAAATTCTTTAAAAAAAAAAATAAAAATAAAAAAAATAAAACAATGTTAAAAGTAGTAAAAATAACACTAATAAATATTAAAATGATGCTTGGTCCCTGCCCAGGAGCGAATATGCTGGGTTGGAGGAACAGAGATGTCTGAGTTTGTTCTCTGAGAGCAATGGGAATACTATCTTCCCAAATAGGAGAACCCTTTGTCCTTCTCTCCCATTCCTCCTTTCTACAACGTGTATTGTGTGTGTATTGAGCACTTACCACGGGAGGCCCTGGGTGGAGCAAGACAGTGGCTGCATTCTTTCCCTCTGTCTAAATAGCCTGAGAGCTCCTCAAGGACAAGGGACCCCACTTTATTTAAGATTTATTTTTAAGTACTCTCTATACCCAACCTGGGGCTTGAACTCACAGCCCCAAGATCAAGAATCACATGCTTCATGGACTGAGCCAGCCAGGCGCCCCAGGGACCTCACTTTCTCATCAGGGTGTTCCCCAAAGGCAGGGCCTGGCACTCCGTAGTAAATGCTCATTAACGAAGATGAATGATCAGAGGTAGGTTCAAATGCCTTTCTTCCATCACCTTTCCGACAGTTTCCTAGTCACTTCTGGCATATAGAAGATGCTCAGTTTACTTAATTGAATTAAACAGAATTAATCGTTCAGCAAATGCATCCCACATCTGAGCAGAGAAGTTACTTAGTTCTAACACAATTAGATAAAAACTATGTGGGGTACAAGCTCAGAACTCAAAATATGCCGATTTCCTTCCTCATTTGGACTTTTGACAGGGGTTGGTCAGTCCTCCCAAGGAGTCCAGTGTTACTAGGAGATTCTTCCCCAGATACTGCTCCGTGCTCGGGGGCTGCTACTCCATGGTGGTCTCAGGGTCCGGCTAGGCGAAAGGTCTCTGCCCTTGCACAGAGGGGTGGAGACCCCAAGCTGTGTGTTGGGGTCGCACATTGTAGGCCCATAAGGGAGGCCGAGCAGCCTCCCCGGAAGAGAGGCTCCTGAAGTCCATCTTGGGGCTCCCGCCACCCAACTGTTTCCCAAATTAGCACATAGTGGCCCTCACTAAACATTAAACCGAGTCAAGGACCGAATGAATTGTGGACGGAACCCGTAAAGCGAGAGGAATGGGTCCAACAGCGCCCCCTTGCGGTGCTCTGCACCCAAGCCGCCAACTGGGAGAAGCGTTCCTGCGGTCCCACCAGCGAATGCTGCTGGACACCACAAAGAGCCGAGCTGCCAGGGGATGTCGTCCAGCCACCCCCCATCCATTTTTAGAGACGGGGCACTGGGCCCAGGGTGGGTAAGTGGCTCTTCCAGCGGGGCCCCAGGAACGCGCTCCAGCGGTTCAGGGCGGCAGTCTGACGGCGGAGGCCGCGGGCGACCTGCGGCGGGGCTGCGCTGGTACCGCGAGCAGCCTGTGCTGACTCACGGAGAGTGTGTCCTGCAGGTGGCACGGAGAAGCCCGTGGGGATGCGGGGTCCCGCGCGGCCGCCGGCGCCGGAGCTGCAGCTAAAACCCGGAGGGGCGGACCGGCGCCGCGCCCGGAGCGCTATCCGCCCGGTGCACGGCGCCCCCAGCGGGCGCAGGGGGCCAGGCAACGCCGCGCGCGCACGGGTCCCCGGATCCCAGCCCCTCGCGCGGGACCGAAGGAACCCGAGTCCTCGGCGCCGCGGGGGCGGGGCTCTCGGGGGGCGGGGCTCCAGGGGCGGGGAGCAGCGAGGGGGCGCGCCAGAGCTCAGTCCTGCTGGAGAGCACGGAACTCCCCCCACGCTCGGTCCCGAGATGACGGCCAGCAAGCGGGTGGCGAAGGTAACGGCGGTCGGAGACCCCTTTCTCACGGCTCCCCTTGCCTCCCTTGCCCTGCCCCCTGCATCCCCCTCCTGGTTCTCGGAGCGCGGTTATTTGTCGCTGTCACCGCCGCCGCGTCCGGAGGAGTGGGTCTGCGAGAGGGGCGGGAGCTGGAGCTGGAGGAAGCCTGGGGGGTTTCGAGCGGGGCTGTCGCTGCCTCCCTGGGCTGTGCTGGGGATGGGGATGAGCCGGCTCGCCTTGAGCCGAACTGGTTTCGGTTTCTTTTCTCCTGCCAGAAACTTGTGATAACAATTGCATGCGTCTCACGGAGGTGCTGGAAAGATTCCAGGAACCAGGCGCTCTGCTGAGGCGGGGGGCGGGGTGTGTGTGTGTGTGTGTTAGGAACAGAGGTAATGAGAACAAGGTCTTTGCCTTGGAGTAGCTCCTGCCCCGCCCCGAAATTGGGTACCTACATTTCTAGAGTCCCGAGAAGTATGGCGTGTTGAGTAGGAGCCAGGAACAAAGTTCCCTGGGTATTCTCAGGAGGAAAAGATGCCAAGGAGGAGCTGGAAGGCGTCCTGGAGTAGGTGGCGTGCACTCATTCCTTCTACAAATGTTGTCAAAAGCCTGTTATGTGCTGGCTCCTGTTCTAGGAAGCAGGGAGGCAGAGATGAGCACAAATCTTGCCCCCCCCCCATCCCCCTTGAGCTTTCTTTCCAATCAGGGACACAATTTGAAGATTTATTTATTTTTATTTGAGAGAGAGAATCCCAGGCAGACTCCATGCTGAGCACGGAGCCTGAGCTGGGGCTCGATCCCATGACCCTGAGATCATGACCCCAGCAAGTGGAAATCAAGAGTCCACGCTTAACTGACTGAGCCACCCAGATGCCCCTCCAGTCAGGAACACAATTTGAAATGAGGTCTGGGAGGATGGGAAGGGGGCAAATTCCCCAGGAGGTGGGAAAATCCAGGGTGTTTGAAGGACTGGGGTGTAGCCCAGAGGTGGGCATAGGTGGGGAAGGAAGAGCACTCATGGTGAAATGGGTCTGACATGCCCCAGACTTTGACTCTCTCCGAAGCACCCCTCCAGTGTGTAGAGTGGGGGTGAGCTTAAGGGGCTGAGGAGGGCTGCCGGCTCCCCTCCACCTTTGCGAGATAGAGGGTCTCAGATTGGGGCATAGAGCTGGCTCAGCCCAGAAGATCTGAAATCTGGAGCTTAGCAACAAAATGGGGCAGAAGGTCCTTCTAGCCAAGCCCGAAAGAGCTAGGAGCCAGTATTTATCACACTGGCACCACGAAATGCCAGGCCACTTACTTCTAGTTTGTAAAATTCCCACAGCAACTCTGTGAGATAAGTCTTACACCCCCATTTTACAGATGAGGACGTTGAGGCTCAGAGAGAATAACTCGGTTGTCCAGGGTCACCCAGTAGGGAGTGATGGGGCTGGAATTGGAGCCCTGGTTGGTGGGGCTCCAACCCACAGGCTTGTCCAGTAGCCTCTTTACTTTCTTTTTTTTTTTTTTTTAAATTTTTTTTTATTTATTTGAGAGAGAGAATGAGAGATAGAGAGCACGAGAGGGAAGAGGGTCAGAGGGAGAAGCAGACTCCCTGCTGAGCAGGGAGCCCGATGCGGGACTCGATCCCGGGACTCCAGGATCATGACCTGAGCCGAAGGCAGTCGCTTAACCAACTGAGCCACCCAGGCGCCCTAGCCTCTTTACTTTCATTTTCTTTTCCTCTGAGTCAGGTGACTTCCTCACTGGCCTCAGGAAAGAGCCGTGTGTCCTAGCTTGTGTTTTGGTATCCTCAGGCTTGCAGAATCTTTTGGGAGAGCTCTTCTACAACAGAAAAGTCCAAGCGATCCCAGTTATAGTAAAGTCGGGAAAATGTCCTCTCCAGAGCTCTGTTTGACTTAGGGCTTCATTTCTTGCCAAAGAGTCATAGATGATGCTGCAGCTAGGACTCTTGGGAGCAGATGCTTCTACTTTTGGAATGAAAAATAATTGAGGATTTATAGACTGGGCAGAAGGCACGAGAAGCAGTTTGTGGGTATGAACAGAGACAGAGTATGAGCTGAGACAGAGGCGATGGGGCCAGGGTTTTGTTTATATGTTGGGGGTGCAGAGAAAGTTCATGTGGTCCACAGTCTGAAAAGCCCCTCCCATACTGTGGACTGGGTTTGAGCTTTCTGTCTGCCTTTGTTTATACCACGGTTTCTCAACCTTGTCACTGTTGACACCTGGGGCTGGATAATTCTTTGTAGGATGTCTATCAGCATCCCTGGCCTCTGCCCACTAGATGCTGATAGCACTCCCCCAATTTGTGACAGCCCGAAATGGTACTAGGCATTGCCCAAGGTCCACTTGGGGGGTGGGGTCAAATTGCCTCTGGTTGAAAACCAATGGTTTATACCCATTTGGTGTTCCAGAGGAATATGACTTGCCCTTGAATGTCTTTTTATTTGTTATTGTTGTTGTTTGGTTTTGCAAAGAAAAGATCCGTTGTCCTACAGGATGGACCCCAAAAGGGAAGAGGGGTTCCTTGGTCACATATGCGTGAGGAGTACTGTATGCTGTGGGCTCACATCTTGGAGATTCACAATACGCTTTAGCTTTATGTTTTCCAATGTGCTTGATCACGGAACCCTTTTCCATCAATAACTATGCGTGGGGCACACTGTGCATATTTGCTCTCACTGGGCCCTCTGCCTTGGTGCCTCTCCCCTTCTCTGCATGGTGGACTCCTGTTTACTCTGCATGGCCTGGCTCAGTGCTCCCCTGTCCTCCGCTCACCGCAGTCTGTATCCGCACACCTTCACACAGTCACATTCACCTTTCTGCCATTGCTCCAGGGAAGGTCTCGAGGGCTGGGCCCTTCTCACTCAAGCCGTCAAATAGAAGATGCTCTGTAATGCGCTGGAGGGAGAATGCAGTGATGTCCCGGTCACTGGGCTACATCTGGGGGCAGGGCTGGGCGTGTGAGTCACTCCTTGTCACCCTGTTTCTCTGCTTGGTGTGTAGTGTTCTCCTCTGCTACAGTCTGCCTGAACCATCTCCCTCCCCCAGCCCTGGCCTGGAGGAGTCTGTCTTTGCTGCCCTCTCTGCCATGAGCACTGGACGGGTCTCTCGTCATGCTGGACATGCAGTGGGTGCCATGGGAAGAAGGGAGGGAGGGTGAGAATTAGGACCTTATGTCTCTCCAGGAAGAGAGCAAAAGGACAGAGGTGTAGTGTAGCATCTTGGCTTTAGAAAGAAAGGCTCCAAAGAGAGTACTAATGTCTGGAAACAAGGATCTTCATCTTCTCTCCCCACCTAGTACCTACAGAGCTTGGTGAGACTAAAGGCACATAAGTCACTTAAAACACTCAGCGCTGTGCCTGACACATTCTTTTTTTTTTTTAAGATTTATCTATTGGGGCACCTGGGTGGCTCAGTCAGTTAAGCTTCTGCCTTCAGCTTAGGTCATGATCTGAGGGTCCTGGGATGGAGCCCCGCATCGGGCTCCCTGCTCTGTGGAGAGCTTGCTTCTCCCTCTCCCGCTGCCGCTCCCCCTACTTGAGCTCTCTCATACTCTCTCTCTGTCAAATAAACCTTTTTTTTTTTTTTTTAAGATTTTATTTATTTATTTGAGAGAGAGAGTGTGTGCAAGCAGGGGGACGGCCAGAGGGAGAGAAGCAGACTCCCTGCGGAGTGGGAAGCTGGTTTCAGGGCTCAGTCTCACGACCCTGACTGAGATCATGACCTGAGCCAAAATCGAGAGTCAGACGCTTAACCAACTGAGCCGCCCAGGCGCCCCTGTGCCTGGCATATTCTAAGTGCTCTGTAAATGAGGTCTCTGACTTGGCCAGCGTCTGTCCCTAGGAGGTCCTTTTTGGGACCTGGGACAGCTTTCTGCTGGGACAGGTGGATGGGCGGCTGAAGTCGGGGAGGCTAGCCCCCTGCCCACCGCTGTGCCCCCTGCAGGAGCTGGAGGATCTTCAGGAGAAGCTTCCCACGTACCTGCGGAACCTGTCCAGCGATGATGCGGACGTCCTGGTGTGGCATGTGCTCCTTTTGCCCGTGAGTGCCCCTGGGGACCATGACCTTCCATTGGGGTGGCAGGCCAGGGCCATGGGCAGGGAGGCTGAGGACTTGGCCAGAGTTAGAGTCCTTTTTTGACTGGAGGTCACTCACTGGTAGAGGTCTCTGCATTGACTGCTTCTGAGGTCGAAGCAGGCTGATGAAGGGCCAAAAAAAGACTTCGGGATTTCGTAGGAGATTCTCTCCTCAAGCCAGTGGTCACCAAGCCCGCCACAGAAGCGTCAGCAGACAAACGGCCCCGAAAGAAGAAAACAGATCTCCTGGACCTTTGTCCTGGGGTAGGGGTAAACTTTCTGTTTTTCACAGTTGGCGGAATTTGCCCTCCCCAACCTAAAATGTATTCTGTTTTCTTTTAAAGATCATATTTCAGACAACTATTTTTTTTTTACTTCAGTATGGTTCATATAGAGTGACATATAAGTTTCGGGTGTACAGTATAGTGATCAGACAACTACTGTTACATAGAACAATCTGAATAACTCATCTCTACTATTCCGATTTTTCTCCATTTATTAAATCTCTCTCAGTAAAATCTCCCCACGAAAACAGTATTCTAGGGGACCTGTCTGAGTGCAAGATTTCTATTTTATCATTAATAGACTGATGATATTTTCTATGGGAAGTCATCTACACACCTTTAGTTACATGGACATAAAAATTAAAACAGTGAAACTTTATGGTAGTTCTTTGGAATATCAAGAGAACAATTCATTTGATTATTTAGGATTTGGACTTTTTTATTTTTAAGATTTTATTTATTTATTTGTCACAGAGAGAGAGTAGAGAGCACAAGTAGGGGGAGCGGCAGGCAGAGGGAGAAGCAAGCTCCCCGCTGAGCAAGGAGCCCGATGCGGGACTCAATTCCAGGACCCTGAGATCATGACCTGAGCTGAAGGCGGACGTCTGTCAAGTCCTGTGGGCTGCTGGGTTGAAACAATCCATTTACCTGGCTTGAAGTGAGGACACCTACTCTGGGCCTCGGGTGCCAGAGGACGAAGGTGCTAGAAGGTGCTCCAGGGACGGATTAGATCCCCAAGGAGGCTAGCTCTGAGGTGGATGAGAGTGAAGGTGGAGGAGCAGGTCAGAAGGAAGAAGGTGGATGACAGGGAAATCTAGGGAAGGTCACATTTCAGAGTATACTGTGAAATGAGAGGACCCTAATGGTTGGCAAAACCGAGGTGGCTGGTCTTCTGGTCTGAGCACAATTCCAGCATGTGGAGGGGCGTCCCTTGCCCCACCACCAAGCAATTCTCAGGACACCGGCTGGGTGTCCTATTCTTTTTTTTTTTTTTTTTTTTTTTTTAAAGATTTTATTTATTTATTTGAGAGAGAGAGAGAGCACGAGAGGGAAGAGGGTCAGAGGGAGAAGCAGACTCCCCGCCGAGCAGGGAGCCCGATGTGGGACTCGATCCCAGGACTCCAGGATCAAGACCTGAGCCGAAGGCAATTGCTTAACCAACTGAGCCACCCAGGCGCCCCGGGTGTCCTATTCTTTAACTCACTTCTGACACGATCTACCTAGAGATAGAATCAGATCCCACAGATTAAGGGCTCTGTCCCACAAGACTGTCCCCCCTGCACACACGCCCCCGCCTCCCCTCAGATGTCAGTCTTGAGTCCAGGCTGCTTCTGACGCGAATGGTTATAAATCAGAGGTTCCATGACCCCTTCCTCGGGTTCAATTACTTTGCTAGAGTGGCTCACAGAATGCAGAAACATTGTCCTTACTGACCAGTTTATGATGAAAGGTTATAACGCAGAACAGCCAGATGGAAGAGATGCACAGGGAAGGCATGGGGGAAGGGCACGGGGCTTCCCACCCTCTCTTGGCATGCTACTCTCCCCAAATCTCCACGTGTTCACCAGCCCAGAAGCTGTCTGAACCCTGCCCTTTTGGGTTTTTATGGAGGCTTTATTACATAAACACGATCGATTAAATCATTGACCATTGGTGATTGAACTGGAGCCCTTCTCCCCTCCGACCCTTTAATCCCAGGGTTGGCTCCTCTGTCTACAGCCCCCATCCTTAAGCTACTTCATTAACATAACAAAAGACATGTGGGTCACTCTCAACACTTGGGAAATTCCAAGGGTTTTTGAGAGCTATGAGCCAGGCACTGTGGACAAAGACCAGATATATATGAGAAATATATCTGAATGACCAAATATCTATTTCTTATAAGTCACAATAGCACAGTAGGTGTGTCCCCAGGAACTAGCCAGAGGTCTCTGGCCCAGCCATACAGGGGTCCTGAACAAGCATGCTAGTTGGGAAGAGTCTGGGATTGGGGGGTCAAGGGTTGTTGTAGGACAGCCAGCTAAGGGGGCCCAGAGGTGCCTGGTGAAGCCATAAAGAGGCATGGTTGGCGGGCAGGGGAAGGAGAACCCAGGAAGGTCTGTGGGACGAGCCGACGGATTGCCCCCAAAACTCAGTCTCAGGGGCGCCTGGGTGGCTCAGTCGTTAAGCGTCTGCCTTCGGCTCAGGTCATGGTCCCAGGGTCCTGGGATCGAGTCCCACATTGGGCTCCCTGCTCAGTGGGGAGCCTGCTTCTCCCTCTCCCACTCCCCCTGCTTGTGTTCCCTCTCGCTGTCTCTTTGTCAAATAAATAAATAAAATCTTAAAAAAAAAAAAAAAAGCTCAGTCTCAATATACACGCTCACCAAGGTGGCCCCACTTGTCACCTTGCAAAAAAGCTGACAGCGGGAAGAGCCTTTGAAAGCTCACAGTAAGAGTTCCATTCACTGAGAACCCCCTGTGGACCGAGCCCTGTTTCCAGGACATTGCATGAGTGTCATACTAAAATCCTCTCAGCCACCCCACCGGGAAGACTGACACCTTTCTACAGTTGAGGAAACGGAGGCTGATGGGGTTAGATGACTTGTCACACAGAAGGTCACACAGGAGAAGCTGGCAGAGCTGGAAGAATAGCCGAGTGCTTTTTCTGACCCCAGAACTCAGAAGGAAATAGGGCTTTCTCAGCTGGCCCCAATACAAAGCTGTTGGGTGGTCCGACTTCTTCATGTTACAGATAGGAAACCGATTTCTGAAGGAGCTCCAAGCCACGCCCCAGGCTTGGGGCAGAGCTGGGCTGGTTTCCAGCCC